ATAAGTCTATCTTAGCTGGACCTACTAATAGGATATTGGCCTCTATGTTTGTACTGTACATATGGAATTGACGAAAGAGAAATGACAAACTATGTTTTCTTTCAAAACAGTTTCTTCTGTTTTAAAATTAGGCGGAGATGGAAACATCTAGGAAGACTTTCCATTTACAGAACAGATAAAAGTAGAACAAATATATTAGAAGTCACACCTGCAGTACACTTTCTACACTCTATTAAGAATGAAGTGAAGAAGGCTATATAAAATTTAGGAACCCAGTATTATTATACAACATCACATCCCTGCCCTTTTTGAACATGAATCCATATAGAAAACCGAGAACATTTTAGCTGACGTCTATACCTCTACAATCTGAATCTTGGGAATTAAAACTGAAACATGAAGCACTTCTTGGTATTACTGCCTGCCAATTTCTGAAGCCAGTTTGAGGATTAAAACTGCAGTGGGGGGGGATAAACAGGCAGTCAGTTGATGGCTAGTCCACTTCACTATTCAGGTCTAGCAATACAGTCTGTTGACATGCTTCAGATACTGCCAGTTGAAAGGATAGCCATTTATTCGTTTTGGTAAGACAGGCTAATGACATGAAGGAGGAGGGTTGGGAATAACATTTGCCTGCAGGCTGCATGAGACCTCAAGGCAGTTTTTTTAAATAGCCCTGCTTCCATACCCCCCTCCTTTAAATATGTGTGTGAGAAAGAGGGAAGAAAGGGGAAGGAGAACGAAAAGGAAAGAAAAAGGAGGGAATTCTCCTGGAAGCTTCCACAAGTAGGGATTCTCCTTCGGAAAAAGGTGCAGGGACCCATAAAATCTTTGAGATTTAAAACAAGCATTTTACAAACTCTGAAAAGAACTTTTGGCCACTTCCAGTGTTGTGCTTTCTCTCCATTTTCAGGGGTTGATGCACTTCCTGAAACATCCCAAGGATAAATGCAATTTCTCAGATCTTGCCCACCCATGAAGCCTCCACATATTTGACACCAAGGGTGACAAAGGCCTATATATTCATAGCAGATGATATTCATGAAAAGACCATGTTCTTCTCATGTAACGAACTGGCCAACGTTGAGTAGTGAACGTGCCGATAGCACTGTAGTTGTAACTTTTTGGAAGAGCTAACTAAAGTGTGCACATGAAATTTGTTCTTTTCCTCAGTTCTCAGAAGGTTATTTTGAGGAGAAACAGTCCACTTCTCACAATTGGTCCAGGTCTCAAATTAATCAAAACCAGAAATCAAAAGACTTGCAAGGATAGCAATAAAGGAATTAGAAAAGGCCATCAAATGTAAAGATGTGTTACTAGAGACCAAGATCATCCACACTCTTGTATTTCCAATCACTATGTATGGGTGTGAAAGCTGGGCAATAAAGATGAAAAGAAAAAAAATTGTGCTAGAGAGCTCTGCAGATATCCTGGACTACCAGAAAGATGAACAATCGGGTCTTAGATCAAAGCAAGCCTGATCTCTCTCTGAAGGCAAAAATGATGAAACTGAGGCTGTCTCAGTTTGGGCACATCATGGGAAAGAATGATTCTCTGGAAAAGACAATAATGCTGGGAAAGGTTGAAAGCAGCAGGAAAAGAGGAAGATCAAATATGTGATACGATTGATCCCCCCCAAAAAAGCCACAGACTTCAGCTTGCAAGAACTAAGCAGGGTTATGGAGAACAGAACATTTTCGAGATTGCTCATTTATAGGGTAACCGTATGGAGATGACTTGACAGCACATAACAACTCACATTAAGAACTCAGAACTAAGCTCTTAGTCCCCTAATGCTGCCTGGAAAGTGAAACATTTATAGCCAGGCATCTAGATAACCCAGATGTTTAGCTATTCTGAAGCTCGATGGAAAGACAAAGAAGGGCAGAATAGACTAAAGGGGGAAGGAACCATAGTATACACCTCCCACTCCCAAGGAGCCATCCCTCTTTTGTTAGTGTGAATAGCTTGAAATATCATGATTTATATCTTCTGACATCATAATGGCACCTCTCCCTTTATGACCTCTGGGAAAGAAAGGGTTTATAAAAACTCACAGCAGTTGTACAGCTTTTAAACAGGCAGATACTCTCTCTAAATTGGCAGGTGATAACCTTGTATGGGATTTGTAGTGTTACTTCACGACCTGAGGCTTCAATCACGTCTGTGGTAAAACAGCTGCATGCAAAATGTATTTAAGAATCTCCAAAGGATTTTAAAATCCAGCTTTATAAACCTCTGAGTTAATATAATTTTGCACACCCAGGGAGAAAGATGAGGTCAGTAAATAAAGTGGAAGAAATCAAAAGATATACTGCAACATTCTCTGTTCTACTATCTTCTCTTTCAATCCCTAGTCCTAAACATTGTTATTAAGGAATATGCCCCACTATTTCATTGGGACTTAGTCTAAGTATATCTGACGAGGATTACAACCCTACTTTGTAGCTTTTCGTCCTCACCTTCCATAGAAAGATAGATCTTTCTGGAGTTCCCACTTGTTTAAATAACTTTTAAAAAGCATACACACACACACACACATACACGCACACACAAGAACATATGCTAAAGCTATACAGTCCGAAGATACAACAATTCTTTTGAAAAACAAAACCACAAGGAAGTCCAGCACAAGTTTCAAGGCATTAAAGTGCAAGACAAGGCTCTGTGGAACTGTAAGCAGCTTCCCTCTGGCAAAGGCAGAGATCCTGACAGAGAGATACCTCCACTTGAATGGAAAGACTTACATAATTTCCAGAGATTTGAAATTAGGACTAGAGAACTAATATCAAGAGAACTTTGTCCCCTTCACACCAAATTAAAAATAGAAGAATTTCACAAGCCTCATAACTATCTTCCAAATATGTCATTCCCCCTATCCAGTACTTCTGATCCTTCACTCACCACAACATCACCCTGAGCACACCCAGTCTTATCTGATTTCAGAAGCTAAGCAGGATCAGGTTGAGTTAGTACTTGGAAGGGAGACCACAAGGGATCTTCAGATACAGCTAGGAAAACCTCCTGCTGAAACCCTGAGAGTCACTGCCAATCAGAGTTGACAATATTGGGATAGATGGACCAATGGTTTGACTCGGTGTAAGGCAACTTTGATCAAACAGATCAACATTTGCTAGTGCCCATCTATATCTACTCATGGCCCAAAATATTGGCCAGAAAGGCAATGGCTACAATTCTTCTGGTTCTGGAGGAAAAGTCTTCCCTTCATCCCCTACCTTTAACTCAGTCAAAGAGCCATGGCTCCATGAAATCTGTAATGTAAACTTCACGATGGTGGGCACGTAATAAAAGCCAAGCACAAAGATCCCATCAATTTCAGTTAAGAATAGCAATTTATGCAGCATTCTTTACATTAGCCAGAGCCTGGCAAATATTCAAACACAAGACACCACAGCAAGTGCCAACACTCGCTTGGTAGCAATGCACATCTTGTCACTGCCACATTCCTAACCAGAAAAGATGCTCAAGGAACACTGGCTGAAGCAGATAATCTAGGAAATTCTTCCAGTTATTCACATACAAAATTTACAAATAGTTGGCAATTCCACCTCTAGCTTATGATGCCAAAGTCAATAGAAAGCACATTCATAAAGCTACTGTTCATTAGCTGCTAACCACGGTAGCTTGGTTCTTACAACTCATTATTTCCTCATTATTTGGAATATGCATCTTCACCTCCTTTTAAAGGATTAGTCTGCACAGCATGGGGGCCAATGTACGTCCAACAGCCCCCAGAGTCCATCCTGAGATCGTCTTCAACCCTGTGGGTCTCCCACCTCACTAACACAGACTAACATGGTCATAATCCTCAGAGGTATTCTGCACTAAGGAAGCTACATGTTTCCTCCCTAGCAAAAAACCCTTCCATGTCCAGTGGTTGATGGAGATTTCTTCTACATCTGCCACAGAATCTATGGGCACTGCAGAAAATGCTAGAACACACACTTCAAGTGTATACAACTGTGACAGCTATGACCTCTCAGGACTCCACAGAGATCCACACAGACCAAAAACATATTCCTATACAATATAAGGCCTGCTTGAAAGTGGCAGTTACCGAGCAACCCATTAATTTTGCTGTGAAGCTGAATATTCCCTAGGGACAGAGTCTAAACAAGACTGGTCTCTACCACGGCATGAATGGTAGCAAGCTGGCCTTCACTTGTACTTATGTGCCTGCTCATAACAGCATGGCTCCTTACACTTCCATTTCTAAAAAAGAACTAACAGGGAAAGCATCAATGCAGGAACTCCTGTGAGTAATGCAAGCAAGTCAGTTGCCAACTGTACAGGTCGCCTCCCATATTATTTGTGGAAGCACTGTGGATACCAGTGGATCATATCATGTAAAGTCCTGTCGGGGAAGAAACATTTAAACACACACACACAAAGAAGAAGAGACCCCTGCTTTTCAGGGATGTCACCAGAAAGGGGAGTTGGCCAAAGAGCTTAGTTTGAACAAGGAAAATCTACACGGAGATACGGAAGGGACGTTTGAGTTTGGCATCTCCCCTATTTCCAGACACTTATTATGAAGATATGCCATAATTGTTATAGGGAACGGATATCCTTCTACAATTCACTGTGAGTATGAATCTTTGCCAGTGAAAAGAGCTTCAGTTTCCCAGACAGACAAAGCAACAAGAGACAAGTAATATATCTATATATGCTATTTTTCTTTCAATATATATCTATATATCTTATAGTAACAAATGAGGAAAAACACAGGCACCCCCACATTGCCTTTTTTTGTTTTTGCGTATTTGGAAGGAGAACGAGGAAGAAAAGAAAGAGAGCCGGTGAGAGAAACAGTCAAAATAAAATCAAAATCCTCTGTAAACATTTGTGAAGGAACGGTTTCGGATTTTGCTTGTTAAATAATATAATTAAAAAGTCACCCACTCTAAAAAAAAAAATCATTCAAAACACAGGGAAATAAACAAGAGCAAAAGAGAAAAAAGTCACCCAAAGAAAGAAAGAAAGAAAGAAAGAAAGAAAAAGAAAGAAGGAAAGAGAAAGAAAGAGAAAACCCTTAAATAAAAATGGAGATTCAGGATTGGATGCTCCGGTCTCTGAAGAAGCCCTCTGCCATTTGTGCTTCTCTGAAAGTCACGGTAATGGAGTTTGCTGTGATGTCCGTCACTGTCACTTCATTTGGGGGCAGGGCGGGGCTCCAAGCAAGGCTGCCTTCTGCCATCTCTTGGCCCACTGTGGAAGGGGAAGGAAGAAAAATAATACCACTTGAGAGTGGAAACACAAAAACTGAAGACCAATGAAAAACAAGGATCTTCAGACAATTATGGCAGAACTGGCATAGGGGCAGTGGAGAGAGATGGAAGAACAAAAACAAACAAAACACCACAGCTGAAAAGAGGCAGCATGTACAGACTGACATACACTGTACACTTGATCTGTCCAAAGAATGCAACTTCAGCAGTTCTAGCTAACACTGATACCCAGTGTGGTGTAGCGAATAGACTGATGGACTAGGAGTCTGGAGACTGAAGGACTAGGACTCTGGAGACCAGGGTCCAAATCCTTGTGCAGCCATGGGAAGTCACTGTGGGAGTGGAACTGATAAAATTACCCCTTAAATATCTCAGTTGTAATTTTAGAAAAAGTAGCTGTGTTTGTCTATGCAAGGATTCCCTTTGGATTTTACTTAAAACATCTCACTTACCTTGAAAGACCTGTTAAGGTCATGTAAGTCGGTTCTGACTTGACAGCATGTTAACATCAAGAACTAGCACTGAAATGTACTTACTAAAGATGGGACTTTCGGGTTAGGATGAGTGAAAACAAACAAGGAAGAGGCACTCTCATTCATTTTTGTCTTCTACCATCCCTTTCTGGAAAAGAGCCTCTTAAAATGAATGACCAGTTGTGATGAATAAGAGGCACACAGACTATTTGTCACCATCTCTGTTTTCTCATTCATTGCTTTTCACCCCATGTATGCAAAATCACTTCATTTGCTATCCCAACCAAAAGTCACAGGTCTGGCGACAAGAGTTGTCAAGCTGCCAATCAGAATGTCCTAGAGGAAAGGTGGAGGGAAATTTGAAACGATGCTCTTTGCTGCTAGTTGTCCCTTTTAAGGTTCTGCTGCTGACTGAGCTCCTTGGCTTGCCCTTCCTCCATTCTGGATTCACTGTCATGTGACTGAATTGCTGCCTCTCCTTCACTATTGGTTTACATTTATTTTTTAAAAAAATTCCCTTTCGCCCTGCTCATCATTGTCTGTGCTGCCCTGTCTTCAGTTTGGAATTTATCTCTTCATTTTTTACTTTACTTTATTTTAGTTTAATTTAATTCTTTCATTTTCAAAATATTTTAAACCATTTTTTTTTCTGGGGCAACATTCTCCCATTCCACACACACACACCGTGGATTGCTTGGCTGCCCATTGGCTTGCCCTGATCATCTTGCTCTTCGGTTAAAACATTTTCATCCTCATCAGAGTTCATCAAAATGATGGAAGTGAGTAAAATCCCCAGTCCCATATTCTTAGGATGAGAGTTCCAGGGTCAGTGTTGAGTTGACTGTATTTCTTGCCCTTAGTTTACTGCTTTTCAGTATTTTCCTGTCACGTAATTTAAGGTCCTCCTTAGTTAAACCACTCTGGAGAGGTGCACTGTTCATTGAGTTGCTTTTCTGTTTCAAACTGCATGGCTCTACTATTTTGTGATATATTACTGCTATTCTTCTGGCTTAAAATGTTTGAAGAAAACAGTTCAGGAAAAATGGCACTCTCTCCACCCAGCTGCCACAAAGCACGAAAAGGAAAAGCTGTTAACTCTTTTCAAAGCATGTTTCTTTTTAAGTTTAAGTGGGAAGTTACATTCTTCCTCCTCCATATAAACAAGCTTGTTTTGTTATGTGGCCCAAGAAACCAGCTCGTAATGCGGGGGCCCTTCTTCTACATGGCTCACATTGGGTCTTGGGGAAAGAGAAGAGCAGCAATAGCTCCATCCCAATGTAAGATACATAGGCTGGAAACCTATTGCCCAACACAACTGTGCAAGGACAACTGCACAAGTTGTTCCATCCTGTGCTCTGCCACATCAACTGATAAAGGAAACAATGGTGCATCTGGCAGCGTGATGGATGGAAAGACAAGGGGAAAAAACTGCTTGAGCAATTGCCTCCCTTCATGGGATACTGTATGATTTCTTCCTGGTAAGATTTTGGTCATAGAGAAGGAGGAAAGCCTCCATTTTCTATTACTTTACCTGACCAGCTCTCTGCTTTCTCACCTGGGAATGGAGCATGTGCCTTTTAGCTGGGTATTCCTGGCTTCTGATAAATGAGGTGTGTCTACTCTCACCTGACAATGACTGTGTTCTCTGGGCACTTCCTGGAATTCCTTATGTGTGCACATATAGAAAGGAGATTTTTAAAAAATATATATACAAGGTTTACATATTTCTATTAGTTTTGCTGACTGCACCTCAAGGGCTTTGCAAAGCAGCCACTGAAAGTTCCCTAGACTGACTGAACCGGATAAATCTTCTTTGATTACCTGAGTTTAAAGGATAAGCCACTTTGTTTACAACTGGAAACAATGTGATAGAAGTATTTTTTAAATGTGTATGTTTGCAGCAGCCATATGAATGTTGCTCCCACATTACAGTTGTGCACCACTTATATTCTGCAACAACCGACATTAAAAGGATATTTCAGAATTGCCTATAACCAAGCATAACCTGCTTTGTCCTAGTTGCCCCAAACATCTCAAGCCACTTTTCAGTCATTCCTCCTTCTAAAGTTGGCAAAAAACCCAAGCTTGAGAATTATCTGATATACAGAGTCCTTCCAAAGTGGGAAGGATTCTATATATTGTACAGGATAATTCTCTTTCCCCTACACATGCTGTTCAAAACAAATGCCTTTCCTCTAATCTATAGCCATACTGCTATAGCTGTATACTGTATTTTGCCCACCATATTATTGTAGTAGTCCCCACCATAAGTACTCAGTCTATACAGTGCATTTAAACATCAGGAAGAGTCCCATATGCACAGGACTATGCAGTTCAAGGTAAAGTATATTCTCTCCTAAAATATGACCTCTGTACTCTTAGTACTCAGTCTTAGTACAGTACTCAGTCTATACAGTGTTTGCTGAAGAGCCTCACAGATTAAAATTATACTTCTGCTGAATAGGGTGGGGTGTTGGGATTTGTTGTTGTTGTTTAGTCGTTATGTCCGACTCTTCATGACCCCATGGACAAGAGCACGCCAGGCCCTCCTGTCTTCCACTGCCTCCCGGAGTTTGGTCAAATTCATGTTGGTAGTTTCGATGACACTGTCCAACCATCTCGTCATCTGCCATCCCCGTCTCCTCTTGCCTTCACACTTTCCCAACATCAGGGTCTTTTCCAGGGAGATGGCCAAAGGATTGGAGCCTCAGCTTCAGGGTCTGTCCTTCCAGTGAACAGTCAGGGTTGATTTCCTTTAGAAT